TGGGCGGCACCATCACTGGCTACGCTTGAGCGCTGTCCCAAGCTGTCATCTTGCGACGGTGTGCCGGACAAAATGATGATCGGCTCGTCCGTTTGTGCAGGTACATTTGCAGGTGTTGGTGTTGGTGTAGGTGCGTTTGTTGCTGACTGCCGGCGGGCGGCGTCGAGTTCTGCCGTGAGCGTCGCGACTTCGAGAGCCGATTTTTTGAGTTGGCTCACAAGGCGGTCGAGCTACACTTGCGTCAATGTCGCAACATTATATTCAGCCATGGCAAGGGTGTCGGGCGAGCTCAGCGGGAGCCTCGGTCGTGGCCGTGCGTGTTTACGAGAGAGCACTTCGAGCGGCGGTGCTTGTTTGCTGAGAGACGTCTACCCCCCCCCCCCCCCCCCCCAAAATGGAGATAGTGGGGAAGCGAAGGTGTGGGTGCGGTCCACGAGAAGATAGTAGGCTCTGAATACCAAGTGTTACGAGTGCAATTGAGCGAGCGAGCGAGAATTGCACTATCGAAGCAAAACACTACAGTGAGCGAAGGAATGAGCAAGAACTAAGTAGCGAAGGTCACAGTGGTAACGGTAACGAACTGTGGTTGACGCGGGACGGGCCTGTGACTGAGGTCGGGACTGAGGTTGGGAAAGTGTCGAAGCGGAGGCCCAGAGCGCGGGTTACAAGCCGAGCCGGGAGGCTGGGTTGCAACGTGCGAAGTGGCGGGAAGATTGTCGAAGCGAGGGTCGCGAGTGGTAACGGTGCCGAGTGTGGTGAGAACAGTAATGTACGCGTTACGCAGGGATGTGGCGTAAGGAAAAGGAAATTTCCTTACACTATGTCATTTCATACCTTCAAGCACCTTCAGCTCCGATCCGAGCCCAGAGCAAGCTCGCTCACTCATTGCCCTTCATACGCACAATTATTCACACCACTGGTGTTTTCTGCTTCGAATTGCGCGTCATACGGCACCACACGCGACCACGGAAGCTGCAGATAGAAACTACTGCTGCTATGAAAATAAGGACCATTATGGACACATCATTATTGGTTTCGATGTTGGACCTGCCGATTTTTCTGCGTTTTTCCTGCCCGTAGCGCATCAAAATCGCCACCTGTTCCGCGAGCACAGGACTATACCCTGACCGCTGCAAAAGCTGGCTCGTTCACGAGTTCACGGGTCCAAGGCTCGATGGGATAAGGATGAGGATGAGGAGGAATTTTTTCCTTCAATGATTGTAACGATGAGGTGAGCGCCGACTTCATAGTTCCTGCCCGCGGCTCCGCTGTGTCGCGACGAGGAGACCCAACAGAGCGAGGTTCTCTAGGCTGTACTGGATGTACATCAGTATCAACACCGGAGTCTTCTAGAAGTGGTCTTTGCCTTTTCGCATTGTTCAGCGTTCTAGTAATCCATCTATCAGGCCGCGCGAGAATACTTGGTACACCAATCAGTCTGATTGATTGATAACGTCAGCCGCACCCGCTTGAATCATGTCGTTTACTTCAACCGCAATGAGGAGCCTAGTACTAGTAGTTGCTACTTTTCTCATAGTCTTCGCGTGCTGCGACGTAGAAGCTTCCACTAAAACCATCAACTATGACTGTGTCACACCGTGAAAGAACGCGTCCGGCATCGTTACGGTCTGCGTCAAAGCATGCGGGTTATGTCATTCTAAAATTATTCAGACTTGTAAGAGAATTGCCACGAACACTCTTCTGCGCGTTCTTGTTTCCCCTTCCAGACGGATTATCAACCAAGATTGCCTTGTACTTACCTACCTGTTAGCTTTTCTTGGTGGAAAGTGAAAAAATCAGCAGGCATCGCTTTAATCAACTCCTTGGGCACGGCCTTCCAGGCCTTGGAGATCCACTTGAGTGTCAGCTCTGGAGGTGGCTTGCGGATGTTGCCTACCATACATGGAACACAACAGCAATCAGAACAGGGTGGAATCAGTCAAGAGCAGACACATCGTACACATAGGGATTGAGCTCACCTCTTTCGGTCAGGCAGTCGACCCCCTCGCTCTCGAACCACTCCTGGTACAGTTGTTGGACTGCTGCTTTGAATGAGCGGTTCACAGTGACGTCAAGAGGCTGGATCTTAGAGGTGCAGTCAGCTGGTATGACGGCGGGGATGATGTTCAGCTCGCCGAATTTCGCCTTCATAGCATCGGTGAGGTGCCCGCGGTAGGAGTCAAGAACCAACGTCACCTTCCTGCTGCGTACTCCGAACCTGGGGTTGACGTACGGGTCCACCGTCCCGGCGAGCCACGCGAGGACGCCGTCTGCGTCCATCCAACCGTTGGGATGTGCGGCGACCACAACATCTGCACATCCGAACAAGGCGTACGGACAGATTGGCATCAGACATTAAAAAAAAAAAAACATCAAATGCAAATGACACTGTCACTGCACAAGCTGCTCGGCTTACCGGAGGGGAAATTCCCCTTAGGAATTGTCTTGCGCTTAAAGAAGACCCAAGGCTTGAGCTTCTCGCCGCTGGCGGTGCAGGCGAGCATCACCTTCACGCGTTCTTTTTTATAGCCGCCGCTGCGGATGGGCACGGAGCAGATCCTCACCTCCTCGACCGTGCGTTCAGCTGGCATCTCGAGCCAGAGTGGCGTTTGATCGGCATTAATAATCCAGCGGTTGTCGATGCCGTACTGTCGGCAGGAGTGTCGCACGAACTTCCAGAATTTCCGCACCTGTGTCTCACACTCTGCAATGGAAGGGTGGGAGAGACAAACAATAGAAGAAAATTATAATTTCAAAGGTCGTAAGCAGCCATAAACGAGAGCGACAGCATAAACACCGACTCACCAAACGACAGCTTCTAGCCGATTCTAGTTTTCTCTCGGGTTGTGAGGTTCCAGCGTCGTCGAAAACGCTCAGCCCACCTCTGAGATCCAGCCCACTTTACCTCAGGATGCAGGATCTTCATCACCTCGTGTGACCACTTCTGCAGTCGGCCGACAGACACGGCGAGACACTTTTTTCCAGTGGGCAAGAACACGTGAGTACACCTCGATCTCCATGTCGCAGTACCACGACGCCCGACCACGCCCGTGAAGGCGCTTGCGAGCCCCATGCGCGCCTTCCAGCTCACCCTTCCGCGACTTCCATTCTGACAGGGACTTTCGGGAGATACCAGTGTCGCGGGACATTCTCCGCACACTCACAGCTCCGGACTCCAACTTTGCAATCCACTGCAGCTTCTCTTGGGAAGTGTAGGAGTTGCGCTTGTGGTTTGAAGGCTTGCTCCTGGGGAACGGGGGGCGGGCATCACGATTCTGTTTGGAGGGGTGGGGCCGTTTCTTATTCGGCGGGGGGAAACTAGGGACAGGCAGGTCCTCGGGAAGACCGTCGGCCCCCCACCACTCAACATCGTCTTCAGCACCAATGGCGGATTCGTCGTACGGGTAGTCTTCCGCGTCTCCCCAGCGTGGCGACAGACCGTGGCCGGGTTCATCGCCGCCGCTGCGCTCGGGCTTGGAGATGTACGCGTCGAAAGCTGAGTAACCGCGATGGAGGAGCTGCAGAACGGGCTGACAGTTGATGACGACGATAGGCGGGGCGGGAGGAGCAGGAGGCGCTGGAGGAGCAGGAGGCGCAGGAGGAGCAGGAGGAGCAGGAGGCGCTGGAGGAGCAGGAGGCGCTGGGCGACTCAGCCAGTGAGAGTAATCGCGAGTGTTGCCAACAGCAGGTCCGCGGTTAAAGAGGAAGTGAGTGCTTGGAAGGCCCGCCATGGCCTAGGCAGGCCAAGGGAAAACAAGAAAACTGAAAAAAACGATGAGAATGAGCCTCGTTTGAAACCCTCACCCGAGACCCCTCCAACTTTGCGGCCCGGGTTCCTCTGTAGGAGAAGGGGGAAAACTATCAAGATCCCCCTGCAGAGGAGCTGAGGTGGTGAGGTCAATGCCTCGGTGGAGTGGAATCTTGGCCCTTCTTCCAATTGCGTGGTTGTACAGAGTCGTGATTGGGCAGTCGCACCCTAAACTACGTGTGCACTAGCATGGGCCATATTCATGTTCGATGAATCTGGCCAGGCCAGCAAGGCGTGATGGGCGTGATTCCACGCCTTGTTGGCCATTTGACGCGCTTTTCATGCACTGTTACGAACGTTCTAGATGTGGATTGAATCCCCTTATGAAAAAGCTTCAATTTCATGTTAAAACAATACATTTCATTTTTGCCATTTTATAAACGTCGGCGCTTATAAATTTCCTCGATTATAAGCGCACCCCCTAAAAAGTGTTTATTTATACCCCCAGGGGCGCTACTATTCGGGGGCTGACGGTATGATGACAAATTGCCAATCGTGCAGAATCAGCAGAGGTTGTGTCCAAGTTGTACGTTTAGTGTTGTTTTCCGTTCCGTACATTATACCACATCTGATCGCCCTAAACTGTAAATGCAGAGTTGAGCTCCCCATGATGTTGTATGGACACTTGAATTTGGAAAACAATCGTCATGGGGTTGTATGTACATACAATGAGTGTACAGTCCTACTCTTAGCAGGAGAATGGCAAGGTATAAGAACTTATTGCTTTGTAGGGAAATTACACCTGGCACCATCACCTCTCATCTTCCGTGCAGCAGCATCATAGGCTCGGGCTGCCTCTTCAGCCGTGTCAAAGCTCCCGAGCCACAGCCGGCGCTTCGTGGTTGGGTCCCGAGCCTCTGCCGCCCACTTGCCTGAAGGACGCTGGCGCACACCTCTAAATAGCTGGGACTGTACAGAGGATGAGCTGAGATGTGATTGTATTAAGGGGATTGAGTTAAGAACAGTGGATGAAGTGTCAAGGCAGGTTGCAGCTGAGGCTGCTGCAGATGCGACAGCTGCTGCTGCAGCTGCCACTGGAGCAAGCTGAACTGGAGACACATGTAACAGATGCTGCTGCTTCGGCTGTTGATGCTGCTGCTGCTGTTGCTGCTGTTGCTGCTGCTGCTGTTGCTGCTGCAGAAGCTGCTGGTGATATTGCTGGTGGTGCTGGTATTGCTGATACTGGTGCTGGCTATGCTGGCCGTAGGAGGTGGGTGGGTAGGGCGACAACCCTGCTGCAGGCATGGGAAACGGAGGAGGGGGAGGATGGGGAGCAGGTAAGGGTGTTCCAGTCATAGTGACCGCAGGAGGTGGAAAAGCTGGCGCTACAACCATTGGAGGAGGAGGGGGAGGGGGAGGAGGGAGAGGTGCCATGGCCATTGGTACCATCACCACCATAGGTCGGTACGTGATGCCAGGTGTCGGAGAATGACAGGCTGATGGTGGAGGAGGGTGAGGAAAGGGCATGTGGTGGTGAGGCAGACTGTGGGGGACTGTGTATTGCTGGTGCTGCCGCTGGTGTTGTTGCTGCTGCTGTTGCTGCTGCTGCTGCTGCTGCTGCTGCTGCTGCTGCTGCTGCTGCTGCTGCTGCTGCTGCTGCTGCTGCTGCTGCTGCTGCTGCTGCTGCTGCTGCTGCTGCTGCTGCTGCTGCTGCTGCTGCTGCTGCTGCTGCTGCTGCTGCTGCTGCTGCTGCTGCTGCTGCTGCTGCTGCTGCTGCTGCTGCTGTGGCGGTGGCGGCGGCAGCTGTGACTGCGGCTGCGGCTGTTGACGCTGCTGCTGCTGCAGTGGAAGCTGAAGGCTGGGCCGTGCAGCAGCTGAGGCAGCTGGAGCAGCGGCAGGGGAAGAGGGAGTTGCTGCCACTGCAGCTGCTGGTAGTGCTGCTGCTGCTGGTGCTACTGGTGTTGCTGGTGTTGCCATTGGTGGTGCTGCCACTGCTACTGAGGATGGCGGCACTGGTTTGAGTACGGGTGATGAGGCCATAGCTTGAACTGCTGGTGACGTGGCTGCTGATGCTGAGGGTGCAACCGGTGAAGGTACGACTGCAGGCACATCCGCAGCTACACCTGCAGGTACAGGAGAGTCTGCAGGTTCTTGAGCAGGGACAGATGGAGACATTTCATTGGTCGAAGCCGTGCTCACAGCGACCGGAACCAGGGTGGCTTGATCGTTATTGACAGCCGATTTCTTGCCATCACCTTCTGTCCTGACAGCATCAGACTCCAGAGCTGAGCTGGAAGGCGCTGAGCTGGCAGGATCTGAGCTGGCAGGAGCTTTGACCTCAGGCGTTGCTTTCATGACATCCACGTCAGCCATTTCACGTGTGCTGGTGCTGGTGGTGCTGCTGGTGCTACTCCTTATGGTGCCATCATCACCACCACCAATGTCCTCCTGTTCCTCCTCCTCCCGCTCGTTCTCAGTCTTCCCTTTGCTCACTCTGCCCCCGCCTTCCGCCTTCCCCCCGTCCGCCACCACCGCGCCACCAACGTTCTCCTCCCCCGCTTCTTCCCCCGCCATTCCCCCCTCTTCCGCTCTCCCTTCTTCCACTTCCCCCTCCAACTCCCCTTCCGCGTCCCCCCCCACCTCCGCGCGCTCTTCCGCGTCTCCGCCCGCCACCACCACCCCCGCCACCTCCTCCGGTCCGCACAGCTTCTGCCACGCCGCCAGCTTCGTGCGGTACCGCCCTTTGGCGCACGCCGCCACCGCCACCGCCATGCGCGCCAGCTGCTCCTTATCCTCCGGGTCGCGTGGGTCCAGCGGGAAGTTAGTCTTAGCCCAGGGGCCTCTTAATCGCCGCGTCGCGACGTCGTACGCGCGCGCGGCCTCCTCCGCGGAGTCGAAGCTCCCCAGCCACAGGCGACGCCGCGCGAACGGGTCGCGCACCTCTGCCGCCCACCGCCCCCACAGGCGCTGGCGGATCCCGCGGAAGCGCCGCCCCAGCTTTCCGATCCCGCGCTCTGCGCCGCCACCGGAGGCGCTGCCGACGCGCGGATTCGAGCTGGTTCGAAGATCAATGGCGCGATTCTCCTCGGCTGCTGCTGCTCCTGCTGCTCCAGCCGTTGATTCAGGTGTTGCTGGGAAATCTAGAACAGCCGCATCTGGCGCGGCCGGCTCGCTCTCCCTCGTTGACACGTCAACTGCCACCTCAGCGTCGCTCACGTCCGCTGCCACGTCAGGAGAGGACGGAGGATCCCGCGCAGGAGATGCAGCGGCGTCGGTTGTTGTGGCACCCATAGCATGGCCCGTCTCGTCCGTTGCATTTAACGGTTTTCCGAACAGGACAAGCGGCTCGCGTGGCGAGTCGGGTGAGCGGCTCGAGCCGCTCTCGCTGACCACAGAATTCGACTTGAAATGATGCGGCCCGGAAAGTTCCCCACTACTAAGAGACTCGTTAAGACGCTCTTCGACAACAAGTAGCTCGTTTCTCCAAAAGTCATAACTTGAACGCGCTTCCTCACCCTGATGACACGTCGGCGCCTCCACCCGTCTCCGCTTCGACCAGTCTCCTTCACCCAATAGCGCCAGCGTCACTTGTGGCCGTTCTGCGATCTCGAATCGCATATTCCCAACTCCTTCGCCTTCTCCTGATTCGCCGGTCGATCTCAGCTGCGGCATCAGCATGCCGCAGCCTCTGTGTGCGCCACAGCCAGCCACGTCAGCATCGCACCGAAACACGTCATGCTGAGTCACACTCCACTTGGTCCACGCGCCACTGCCTCTGACAGCCACCAGCGGATTCGCCGTCCCCACTGGACTGTCCCTGCTCCGCTCCGTCATCGTTATGACGTCATCATTCCCCGATATAGACATCCTCGTCAAACCTGGGAGTTGCCAACCGCACCGGGTAACATCGTCATCGCGGATCGAATCCGACGTGGCCCGTCTTCGCTTCTCGCCCGTATTAACCCCCAGACCAAGCGACAACGCGATCGCCGAGCCGCCACTGGCTGTGGTACTGGTAGTAGCGTCTGCTGCCGCGCTCGCTATTCGAATCGGACGGTCGTCGGACAGTGAGAGGGATAAGGCGAGGCTCGAGCTCGCTTCCGCCGCCGCCGCCGTCGCCGCTGCCGCCGCTTCCGCCGCCGCCGCATCCTCCGCCGTTGCCCCCGCGGATGCCGCTGCGGAAGCAGAGGCGCGAGGAAGTGGGGAAGGGATGCAGAGCAGGCGCAGCTGAGGTGCGGAAGAGGAGGAGGAGAGGGCGGACGGGAGGGGGGAAGAGAGGGCGGACGGCGAGGGGATGTTGAGAGACAGGGCGAGGTCTAGAGGCGCTGCCGCTGCTGCTGCTGTTGGTGATGATGCGGCTGCTGTGAGTGGCGTTGCTGGCAGGGACAGGCCGTGAGTGAGCGAGAGGGGGAGGCGGCGGAGAGGGATAGGGCGGAGGACCCTGGCCAGATTGTCAAAACGATGCGGCGCCAAAACAGTCTGCTTGGTGCCGTGCGTCACGCCGTGCATCGCGCCGCGCATCGTGTTCATCGCGTCCACCCTAAAATCGTTGCTTCCCTCGTCACGAGCAGTAGTGAATCCGGCGACGCCGGCGGGGTCTAGAGGTGCGACGGCAGCCATGGTAGCATCAACCCGTTGCAGTCTGTGGTTGCGCTGAAAATTTCGGAAGTAAATATTTTCTTGCAGTCTCTTTTGAACTCGTAGCTCGAGGCGCACAAGAGTGCTACGCAACTATTCGCCTATTGACACAGCTATGTAGTATGTTGTCGTTCGACAGGCTCGGTCTAGTAATTCACGCAGGACTGGCACTGTAATAGGCCTGTGTGCTGACGAGAACGTGCGATGACTGACACGATCAGTTTTTTAGTAATCAACGGCTTCCTGCTAACGAATCGATGATAAGGGATCGGTGGTATTCCGCTTCCCAAGGCCGCGACTCGGCTGAACCTACTCCCCGAAGTCGTTCACTGGACGATATCGCCTCCAGATGCAGCGAACGATTCTAGTCAGAAGGGCGCGCTGTTTGAGCGGAATATTCGAGTTTCCCCGCTCGCGCAGACGGAAAAACATCTGTCGGCAAAAACAGACGAATGGCGTGCTGGCGCTGCAGCTCTCCCAATGGCGAGTAACTTCCGTCGACGCGTGACACGACTAGTCCTAGCGGCTCTTGTCTCGCTGCTGCCTGCGTCACGGAGAATCGGATGCAGTACAAGGAGTGGTGCATCACAGCATCGTCGTGAACCTACTCTCGTCTCGACGAGTTTGTTGCGCGGCCGATACTACAGTACTCGGTATTCCCAGGGGATTGTGATCCGAATCAGCAGGGACTCCCTATGCCTTGAAAGTTCCCTCCTAGAGCCGCCCGTGCTTCGCGGCTCACTTACCGACTCTGTAAGCCAGTTGCAACCACAGGTTAGGGTTGCACGGCGGTGTCAAAAGGGGCGGCGGAGAGGGGACAGAGGGATATGTGCAGGATGCGGCGCTCCTGCTCCTTCGGACGGTGCGTACACTGCAGGGGGACGCCTTCTGAGGCTTTGATGATCAAACGGCGCGAACCTACTACTAGGTGCCCCCGCCCCAAGGCCTCTTCTGATCCTGCCCAGTCAGCGGGAGGAGAGAAGAGGAAAGAACGTTGTGTAGTGAAAGCGCGTCGAGGGATTTTAATCGGAGATTGTGGGTGTGGTAACCTCAGCCGCACATGCGTGTAAGCCGTGCGAGCCGCTCCAGCTCAGTGCGGAAAGCGCGGGAAATGGATGGTCGGGCGATGACTCATCGCAGGTGACTGACCCTTTGACCCAACGACCAAGGAACCACCTAGGGATCCTCCCCGCCCCTTCCTGGCTTCTGATCTTAGGGTTTCTGGTTCTGTGCTTGGAGCGCCAACGCCAAGCCCGAAGCCGAAAGGTGCTGGCGGAGGAGTTGGAAGGGAACGACATCGAAGGGCGTGGATGTCACAGCGCAGCGACAGGAATGCTTGGAAGAGAGACGCAAAGCGAGAGTATCAAAAGGAGTGGGCAGGTTCTCTGTTTCTTGGCTCCGAACATCCAGATTTATTGAGTGATGGGCATGCTTTCTGAACTGCAAGGTAATTGAGGTTCCTTCTCCAAGTGAGCTGAATGGGATGGTGTTTGTATTTCGAATCGCGTTCTCCGCATCTATTCCCAAGATGCGCTTCGAGATAAATGCAGCGAATCGAGACGCCAAGGCACGGCTCAGCCTCCAGAACGACATGGGAATTGTGGTTGCACGGCGAACCAATCGCGACGCGCCATCGTGACGTGAGCTGGTTGGTCTGCTGGCTGCTCCACAAGCTGACTCAGCTGGATTTGGCTGGTGGTGGTGCAACACGGGCCTGGTCAGGACTTTTGAGTGAAGTCCAGAATCCCGAGCCTGCCAGCACGTGGTTTACACCCACCACTTCGGCAGGTTTGAGCAGCAATTGTCACAGACCGGCACAGAAGCCACGAGGTAGCACAATGTCCGTCGATTTCCATCTTGGTTGATCTCATCAACGGCTTTCGCATCTAATCCGAACCTAGAAGCGTGTCCAGGAGCAACGTTTTAAAGAGACAACCGGCATAAACCACCTCGAGTGTAACAGCTGGTTTACAGATCTGTATAAACTTTCTAAAAGCTCCATTCTCTTGTTCATATCTTCCAGATAGTATTCTACTATGTATCGTGTAACTAAATAGTTAGAATTCTACACTGACGGTTTTTTTGTTTGCAGGAAAGGATAGAAACGAAAAGGAAAAGTTGTTTGTAACGTGTGAAGGTGAGTACTGACAACCTTTCAGTATTCTATATTCGCCTCGAAAGTACCGATTTTGCTGTCTGACAGCTATGGCGGCTTCACATCTGTGCATCTCTGCACCTCGCACGCACCTTCTCCACGTTAATTTCGAGCATGTCCTAACAGCACGCGCGTCCACGCTTCGAATTCGAGGAAACGGGTCAGCCTGGGAGAGGAAGTCCCGGCAGCGGTGTCAAGGGACGATTCGTACTAGTAGAGTCCCACTTGCGGCCACCCACTGCCCTGTCAGCAGTGGTCAATGGTCCAGCGCAGCTGAGTCAGTGACGTCACTCACCTGTTGCATGCGTCGCACCTGTCGCACCTGTCGCGCTTTTGAAAGGAATGGCGAGAAAGGGGGGATGGTTGGAGAGGCGGGGAAGGGGAAAGGAGGGGGGGAACTCGAGGGCTGACTGGTGACTGGCCAATCGGTCGGCCCGACAAGTTGCACGCTGACTGACCGTCAATTCGCGACACCCCTGACCGTCAATCCCCTTGAGGAACGTTCGCTAAAGAAACAGCAGCGAGCGTGCCGTGACAGGCCGAATCGCCGGCAGGCTTCTACCAAGTACTTAAGTTGGAAAGAGCGTCTGAGCATCATCAGTTGGATTACCGAGTCGGCTCAAACGCAAGCTCAGACGTAGATCGAGCAGCATTCTCAACCTTATCGTCGTTTAGGTTGTTGAACATTCTCAGACGCTAAGGTTGACAAACACTAAGATTCCCCAACCTTGTGCGCATCAGTTGAGGAGAAAGCAACTTCTCAACCTCCTCTTCGCCGAGTGCGGGTTTTGACTGTTCCGCCGTCGGCCGATCGCAAACTTCTCGTCGGCGGTTCAACGTGTTTCCACGCGCCAGGGTGGGAACGATGTCACCTTTATCGAGCTTCGCTTCCTCTCCGTCCCAGTCCCATGCGCCTTGTAAGGCGCCGCTCCATGCGGCTTGTGAGGCGCCTCGAAAATCGTCTCAGCATGCACTGATTCGTCTCACGGCCGTTGCTGCAGCACTCGTCCTGCTCTTCACTGCCGCTGGTGAGTCTGTTTCTGAGCTGGGTTTATTCTTTTCATTTCACTCCCCCTTTCACTTCCATGTCTCGTTCGCCTCTCTCTGCTCGTCCATTTCCACTTTCCCGTTATCTTCCTCCTCTCTTCTTCCTCCTCTCTTCTTCCTTTCCTCTCTTCTCTCTTCTTTACTCCTCCCACCCACCTCCTTCCATTCCCCACCCACCGTGCTCACGTTTCCTTTCCCCCTCTTCATCGCGCATCTTTTTTCTCATTCTAGAATATACAGATAAATGCGCGTTTCCCCTTCCCTTCCATGTCATCCTTTGCTACCCCTTGCTACCATTTGCCATCCCGTTCTCTCCTTCCTGCCTTGCAGACGCACAGCCCACACCCGGTCAGCAGCCGTCCCCCATCCGCCCACCTAGCTCCTCCTCCCCTCCCTCGTCCTCCTCCCTCTCCTCCCGTCCCTCCCCTTCCTCCCTCTCCTTCCCTCCCTCCTCCTCGACCTCTCCCTCCTCCTCCTCTCCCTCCCCCTCCACCTTCTCACCCTTCCAGCCTCTCCTCCTGGGCGGCCTTCAAGCCAACCTCACTCCCATCCTCCTCCCCGCCTCCACCACTCCCAATCCCGCCACAACCACTCTCACTCCCATCACACCCACCTCCACCGCTCTCAACCCCACTACAACCATTCTCACTCCTGGCTCATCTGCCGCTGGCGCTACTCCCGGTACCCCCAGTAATGCATCAGCGCTGCCAGCTGGCGGCGCATCAGTGGTCACGCTGCTCGTGAATGCGGCCAATGGGACGCTTGGATTTGCCCTGCCCTGGGCGCAGGGCGCGGGGGAGAACGTGCAGGCAGGGATTTACACCGTCGGAGATATGCTCAACGGTGAGTCGCTTTGGGTGCAGTGCGGTGTGATGAGGTGCTGTGCGGTGCTCTGATCTTCTGTGAGTTGCCGTGCAGTTTTAAATAGGTGGAACGTACAGGTGGCTTTTGCCAATCTTGGGGTCGAGAGAGAACTGCACAGCAGCTCATCTTGTCTGTCTCACATCGGCTTCTCAGCATCACAGCCTATCCCTCATTAATTCTCATTCAGCTCACTTGCTCAATCTCCTGCTCTCCCCCTTTCCAAAACCCTCTCCCGCTCTCCCCCCCCCACAGCATCGTCCCCTCGTCTCGTCCTCCCTCTCATCAGCACCTCCACCAACTCCTCCCTTCCCTCTGCTGCCTCTGCCACACGTGCCACGTCAGCATCCTCCTCCTCCACTCCCCTTGATCCTTTAACTGCAGCAGCAGCAGGTGTGGTAGGTGCTTTGGCGGGACTAGGAACCTCTGCTGCAGGTGTAACGCCAGGGCCAGTTGCAACAGCAGGCCCAGGTGTAACCGCAGAGCCAGGAGTTTCGTCAGGTGGGATGGCGGGATCAGGTGGAGCTTCAGGTGCCACAGCAGGACCCAGAGTCGCTTCAGGGGCAACAGGGGCAGGGGAAGGCTTGGGAGCAGCAGCAGCAACAAGCACAGCACCAGCGACACAAGGGCCTCGCAGGGGCTTATCTGGCACCATAGCAAACCCTGTAGCTGCAGCAGCAGGGGCAGCACAGGAGGCAGTGCAGGGGGCACTAGGGGGTGCCGTGGGGGCAGTGCAGGGCGTGGTGCAGAGGGGTTCAGGGTGGTTGTGGGGAGCTGTGCCGGTGCCAGGAGCAGCGCTGGTGAATATTCTGAGGAATCCGGGTCAGTACCAGCTGCGTCTGTCCGTTGGAAACGGTGCCGACGTTTCCTCGTTCGCGGGCCGTCTCGTGGTGAGTGCTGGAACATTTTTTTGGGAAAA